ACCATCATCATTACACACCTGATGAGAAATTTCTTGTGAAGATAAATTTCTATTTGAAGGACGACATTGATCTAATGGTTCAATTAAATGCTCCTAAGAAAAAAAGAATAGATTGAATTGTTTTGTAAGATGGAAAATTAGGAAAAACCTGTCCTCTGTGTTGCTTATGTGATAGTTGAGTAAAGTTTTTTGTTTTGAATATGGAATATGCGGTCGATGATGGTACTCTACATGATAAATAATTGGAGTGTGATAATATCATCGATAAGGCTCGTCCACGTGAGGATTTGACAAGAGACGAGTGGTTTTGAAGATCTAAATTTGAGGAGGAAGTAATTTTAACTATGCTAATGGGACAAGGAGCTTACGTATAGGATGATGTTGAGGTGACATGTGTTGTTCAGTATTAATGGACATGTCACGTCTGTAAGATATGTAGGATACGGTTTAAAAATAAAAGCTTTTAAGGATACGTACGTTTGTGCTAAAGAATTTTCTTCGTTTTGAAGATCGTATGCATTTGTATCTGTCATGATTGTATATTCAGTTCAGAGATTTAAGGATAAGCAGGAATAAGATAAACAAATGTTTAATGTATCTATAGAAATGGGTATTTTGGGATAACTGATAGGTTATTGCTCATTTCATTGGATGGAAAGTGAACAAATAAAGTTGCTTCCCTGCTACCTTACCAATGTTCTGTTGTCGTTGGTTTACAAAAAAATATGGCATTTTTATCGGAGTGCGTTTCACTAAAAAATAACTTCAAACTATGATATTATTATTGAAAATAATTCAGTTGATATATTAAACATGAATAAGGTGTCGCTCGTATGATACGATTGGTAAGCGCTTCGTACGAATACAATAGAAGCGAGAAAGAAAACGTATAACTTCACAGAAGTATTGTAGACAAGCATGAACTCTAGAATTTATTGTTTGTGGTTTGATTGTAGAAAATATTGAAAGAAGTTGGTTTCGCCAACAGTTCAAAAATTGTCTCTAAAGTTATTATTTTTCCAAATAGACCACATTCTGATACTGAGTTCCTTCTCAATATGAATATTAATCTGTTTATTTTTTGAAAAATAGACGAGCAACGTGTTATAAAAATTTTCGCATGAAGCATCATGCTAAATAGGCTAACATAAATCAGGGCTATTTTCAAATATCATACGGTATCAATTAAGAGATGTCTACAGATGATTTATCCGCATGCTATAAAAATATATTTGCACCTTAACCAAAATTTTTACTTTAAATATTATGATTTCACTGATGCTGAAAATATTCGTTAATGTAACAATGATTGAAAATCATTGTTTCAACATAAAGTGTATCTATTCTCGTTGAAAGAGTGGGTTAGTTGATTGTTTATAATTGATAATATGAAATAAAATTAATTTTTAACATTTGTTCATTGTTTGTAAGGTGGTATAAATGGCAAAATTAATTCTCTACATGAGGCATTTTCTTTTATTGCACAAAGTATTTATAGGAAAAAGAAAATTTTCAAATGAAATTTTGAAAACGAAAAAAAGACAATATTTCATATAATCGCATGAAAAGACAAAATAAGACAGAAAATTATACTCTCCAGTTAAATATATTCAATAAAGAAATCTGATGTATATAGACAAATGAACAGTTGAAAGTCGTCACGCCACGAAGATTGTTCTTAAATATTTAATTCAATATGTTGACGTTTTCTTCACTCTATGAATCTGATAGTTCGTTGATTTCATTGTCTAATGATATACCAACGCTAGGCGCCTAAAAATAATTTAAATAGATAACGTTTCATAGATAAAAAAGAAAGCATCTTACCATCACCTGCGTCCATGGATATAGAATATTAATCGGAGGTTCAATATTAGATTTTTTTGCCAGATAAAGATTATCGGGATAAATCTTAGTATGAAAACAGTTTCTCAAATGAAAAATAATACAGTAAAATATGTTTGAATAGGGCCAAGTTATGGATCGTAAGGTTGATTTTATCTTAGTGAAGTGTGCAAATAATTGTTCACACACTTGAGTATTTTGGTTATCAAAATAAGGTTTGTTTTGTTGGTATTCACAAGAAAGAATAGTTTTACACTCTGGCCGTACATGATTACGTCGATGGAAACGATCAATACAATATTTTTTGTGCATTAGGTCATTAACATATGGTGATGATTGGATAGACAGACTATATTGGTTCCTGAAATAAGCAATGAAAGTGCAAGCAGAGTCATAGGCTGCAGCCGGTGGTAATTTTCCGCCCAGGTGAAGTATTTTCAGTAGCTGATAAATACATCGGCGCATACCTTCAGATCGGACACTTTCACCCCATCCAATGATAACATTACAATTAGAAACAATAGCCATGAATCCTGCTGTTCGTCGTTTATGTTCTCTATCATCATTATCACGATGAACAGTACATATATCATTGTCATCAAACTCTTCAGCAAGTTGATCAAGTTCAAGTGCTTTTTTAATATTCAGATTTTGTGGCATATTCAGTTCCAAACCATATTTATAATGAAGTTCACAGTATTGCTTACATTTGTCTTGTTTTGTACCTCAAAATGTAGAAAGTATGATGAGAAATAACTAAAAAAAATAAAAATAAAACTTTACTAGTCATATTTTTCAACAGAGCTGATGAAGATCGAAGTGGCATACGAGGACAACCCACAGCAACCGCACCAAGCTCGGGTATTGATTCATCACAGGAGCTAGTATATGCACATACTAACCGATGAGCTTTCATATGCGTGTCAAAAACAAAATTAAGCATACATTTATCTTTTGGTTGGCATTGGCAACTTTGTACTTGATTGTGATGAGACCAGAATTTAACAAATAATTCATAAAAGAATGTTGCATTCACTTCATAATATAAATCATGTGATAATCGCTGAATAACATCTGGAATTTGTATCATAGTCAGATCTGTCATGAAAAATAGATAACGACATATTTCAAACCAAGTCCATGTCTATAAACGAAATGAGCATAAAATAATAGATAAAACTATTCAATGATTGGTACATACTACTGAAAAAAACTTAGCATTCAATTTGTTCCTTACTACAGATTCACCATTGGAATTTCGATTTTGATCAATATTCGAATTCGTTGCATTTGAATAAGATTGAAAACTTGTTGCAGCTTCGTGAAATAGATTTGTAAATGCAACTAATAATTGACGTTCATACACCACATGATCAAATAAATGTAAAAACTTTTGGTTGAAAATCATATCAGGTGTTACAAATCGTTCTCGCGTCCGACGATTACGTACATGACCGTACTTGTAAATAAGATCACAGCATTCATTTTTATACATGACACAAGAATAAACATTCTCACGTGTAATAATACTACTAATTTCATCAAATTTGGGTTCATCTAATCGATTGTGACATATAAAGCACGTCGTCCAAGTCGGAATCAGTTGATGAATTAGAAAACGATGAGGCTGAAGTTCGAACCTAAGTTGTAACTTTGCAATTGCTGATAATAAACGTTCATGCTCATTACTAAGTAAAACTTGTTCAGCTAATTCTGGTATCCGATTAATAGACATAATTTTTGGCCAAATACTGACCTTATAATCAGTACTAATGGTCTCGTTGATAATAGCCAGAATAGTTTGTTCTCGTTTCATAGAATCATCGACAACATTCATTGGATAGAGTCGAATAAGACGTAAGAATAAGGCAACATGTGAAGGTGGAACATGTTGAAAAAGATCCAGTACAAAATCTGTGTCGGACTTTGATATATTCATTTGAATAAGCCAAAGTAATACATAGTCTAGAACATATGTTTATCATATTCGATATTGAAACCAAATTAAATGGTTAAGATTAAGTTCATTTTATCAAACCAAACTGTAGCGTCTTCTCTTGTTTATTTTTCGTAAAAGGAGAACAAAGAGAAAAAAAATATATATATAGAAAATCGGTTTCAAAAAGTAGTAAATGACATTGTACTCAATAAATGATACAAATAACGTCATAGTAACAACTATCTGAATTAAATTTCACTGACACTACGAGAACAAAAAATATAAGTGATTGAAGACCACTGTAGTGATGTTCACCGTGTTCTTCGCACAAATCAAAAGAAGAAATATGTAAAATTCTATATACAATTAAAAATATACACACACTGATGGCAAAAAAAGAATAGACATTATTGGGTTTCAACAACACCTATGCAATAAGAATAAATATCAGCCATATCAAAACAAAAAGTGAAATATGAACTAGAAATAACTATGAATATGCAGAGTAGTCGTACGTTCTAGCATAATCTTGATTAATAATCTTCATCAGCAAATCGTTTTGGTTTGCGTTGTCGTTTTGGTGGTGGTTCATCACTTGGTTCTTTTTGTCGTTTAGCACCAAGTCGTCTTAGTTCTTTATTTGTTCGTTGCGAAGCAGTCAATTTGGGTCGTGGTCGATCACATGAATCATGAACTAAATCAAGGAAAAGAGTAATACACAAAAAACCAGAAATATTGAACAAAAGATTATCTTACCACCATCATTTGAAACTGAATTTACAGTTATCATAGTTACACTCATGTTGGCATCAGGACAAAAGATCTTGTTTTGATAATATACACTAATATGTCCTTCTTTCAGTTTATCGTACCAATGACGATTCAATAGCCAATTATTATGTGATGTGTTAAACATATTATTTATAGCCGAAGTTGATATGGATGAATTTCCACCATTAAAAACTTTATCAACATAATAATCCAATGTAATATCTACTTTCTCTCGAAGTTTTATTTCAAATTCTGCTGCATCAAATGCAGATCGTGAAGCTGGAAATAGTTTTAAATAGCCAATTTCGGATTTAACTATTTTTTTGGTTGGACTAGTCGACAAAAACAAATCATCAATTCGCTTGATAAATTCATGTTCTTGCAAATATTTAATTACTAAATTCTTTGTTTCAGCACTGTTATATAATCGAGTAACATCTGTTTTCGTGAATGTAACAAATGACTTGAGCATAAGTCTTTTTGATAATGTAATAATGTCTAATATAGATACAAGAAAATTAAACAATATCACATGTAGGATTATTAAGACTTACCACATGTTTTTGTTGGAAGAATATTCTTTTCCGTTGAAGTTTTTTGTGAATGCTGGAGTGTGTTATTACAGTCAAGTGTCATTGTTTCACAAGGTGATGACGTTTCAAAGTTTGAACCATATTCTAATCAAGAATGAGATACATATACTCATAAAACTCCCCAGTTGTCTCACCAGCTTCCATATATTCAGAATCAGTATTTTGATTTTCTTTGTCACAACCATATTCAATGATGATTGACGATGATAATTGAGAAAATTGTTCCTAGGAAATATAATTATCTGCTTTTATAAGCTTAATTCAAAGAAGCGAATACCATATGCAGATGTTGTTGAAAACATAAACTACGATCGACAACATTTATCATCACAGAATCAGTCGTTGGATCGTCATATTCAATTGAACTGGAAGCTAAAAAAAGTGAAAATGATATATATTATATAATCTATATATAAATTTCATATACAATCAGTAGTTTCATTATTATTTGTTTCAATATTGCCAGGTTTTTCATACGACAATGCACAATCAGATACAGTTTGTGCCAAGTGATTAATACTCATTGATGACTTGTCTGAAATAAAAAACAAAAATAAACCAAAAAATATATGAAGACGTACGATGTTGCTGATCGTTATCTAGGCGTTGTCGAACAGGTGTTACATCTTTCTGTGTATAAGCAATATTGTTTCTGTCATTTTCTAGAACTGAAGGGAGAATATTAGATTTCGTGTTTTGACTGATATTCAAATGTCTTACTCGCTTTAATTTTTTCCATAACGAATATACAATCATCAATACTGTTGTTATCAATATTTGATTTTATAAAAGTAGCATTAGCTGTAACAGAAATACATCAAAACTGATTAGTGGAAGTATTGTTAGAGATACAATGATGCTTACTTTCTTCAGTTGATATAAGTTGCTTTTGTAATGTATTCGTTTGATCCTTTTCATTCGAAGAAATATCAACAGAAATAACAGAAAATAGCTGTTTTCTTTGTAATTGATTATAATCATCAGCGAGAGGTATAGACATTTGGACTGTATCAGGCTCCTTTGGAGCCATATAATGATTACATATTGCTGAAGAGCCAGTATTATTCAATAAACCAACTTGTTGAGCGGTTGCTCGAATACACAATCCGTTTAGTAGCTTCATGATGTCATCATCACTATGGAAATGAATAATATGTTCCGGTGCCAATGAAAATGTATTTGATTTATAGTCAATACCAATTTGACCACATTGCAAACCAGGTTTTAGAATTTCTTTAGCAACAGGATCGTTGGCATCACCCAAACGATGAATAATTGAAATGTAATCACTTAAATGTAAATTAATAAGATTGATTGCTGATGGTTCAATTTTTGCCGATAATTCCGGTGTAGGCAATAAACATTGCTGCCATATTTGTTCATAATCAGTAATATTCAAGTTTAATTTAGCCAATGCTTTAATTGATACATTATTATTTTTTATTTGGTTAGGTGGAACCATGGCATAACTTTTATGAGCTCCTTTAACAAATCGTACTTTATCGAAGGATTGATATACCAAATCATTAGTAACCAAATATTCAATTACCATCATTAGTCGGTCTTTTTTATTATGAAATTCTCGATAATAGATAAATGTTGACGCTGAGAAAAAGATAAATTTGGATGAGATAATAATGGAGGCACTGGCATATACAAAACTATAATTGTCAATATTTTCCTGTATGCTACGATTTCTACGAAAATAAGATTAAAATGAAAAAAATAATATGCGCTTTAGTTACTTTGTAGATAGATGAGATGTTAACGGCGAACAATTGAACTTCTCTTGAATAGATGATAGATCAAACAGTTGCCGAGATACTTGATCAACGTGAGCAAAAAACAAATCACCCATAACAGCTGTATCTTTTTCGACAATCAGAATTTTGGTACCATCATGTTTGCGTAAATTTGGTGGAAATTTTTTCTCTATCACATTTTTGACAGCTTCGATAAAATTTTCCGACACGCGATGTGGTGATTTGACAACTTCTAATATTTTAATAAATGGATATACAGAATCGTCCCATAAAATATCCATAATTGACCGAAATCGAGCAAAATTACATATGAAACTGAAGAAAAAAAAATATTCAGTTTAAGTAAAAGAAAAAAATCACCGAGGAATTTTCGTCGAATTTTTGAAGTTGATAATGGCCTCATGTTCTTGTTTTTCTGTTAGTGTTGCCTCTTGCCATTGATTGTAAACTCGATTAAACATATAATAAAAAGCACTTTTGCTTCGTTCAGATGTGGCATCAGCTTCAGGTTCTTCAAGTTCAATTTCAGTTTGTGATGGTGAATGACAATATTGACGATTATCCATAGGTCGCAATCGATTCCATTTGTCTTCAATGTCGGAATTGAACATATCTTGAACAAACAGAAATAATAAAATCAAAAACAAAAATATCGTTTACTTATTTGTTTTCGTTCGGATTTATCATATACATTTTGTCTTGCCACATATTCAACTTTTCCAAGTAATATGGAAACTGTATAGACATGTTGAAGAGATGGAACCATATTAGAAATGACACCAGTTGAACCAGAATTGGTTTTGATAGCTTTCATTATAGGACATGGATAATGGGTAAATCGATTATGAGCACCACTAATACCGTTCCCTCTATATATTTATTCATACAAAAAAAATACAAATTTTCATAAATTTTGCTTACTCGTAGTGTTGTTGAGATACACGAGCATAAGGATCACCTACACTTGCACCAATAATAGAAGCACGGCGTCCTTCTGGAATATTGTATGATGTGGATAGGGTTGATCGATTTTGATGCTTAGTACCATCGAACATTTGAATAAGCATATTGACATTTTCAGCAAAACGTGGGTCGTTGTGTTGATTACCATATGCACCCAAATTAGACAGTAATGTATCACATTCCGTGGAACACAATAAACGATTGCCATAAATCAAACTTCGATATACATGTAGTGCCGTTGCCTATTATAAAAGACACATAAGATAAAATACACACACAAGAGCAAACAATTAATGTCTATCTTACATTTGAAATAATAAATGGTTGTTCAAATGATAAATTATTCCCTCGACTGTAGGGAGGGTCATATGAAAAAAAATAGTTTGTGTGTTTGTGTGTTTGTGGCAGGGTCAAAAGAACATACCAGAGAGGTTAGCTTATTTTAAGACTTTTGGTCGTTTTGAGTGAACTTTGCCATAGGTTATCGAGGGCCCTGAATCCGAATCCATTGCCCATTTCGGTGGTCGAGGTTTTATTGGTCAGGAACTGACCAATCAAAAACGAACTTTCTTATTTTAAGACTTTTGGTCGTTTTGAGTGAGCTTTGTCATAGGTTATCGAGGGCCCTGAGTCTGAATCCATTGCCAATTTCGGTTGCCGAGGTCTCATTAGTTGAAAACCGACCAATCAGAAACGAAATTTCTTATTTTAAAGGCTTTTGACCTTTTTGATGGAACTTTGCTATAGGTTATTGAGGGCCCTGAATCTGAATCCGAAGCCCATTTTTTTGGCCGAGATTTCATTGGTCAGGAACCGGCCAATCAGAAACGAACTTTTTTTTATTTTGAGACTTTTGGCCGTTTTGATCGAACTCTGCTATAGGTTATCGAGAGCGCTGAATTTGAATCCGAAGGCCATTTTTTTGGCCGAGATTTCATTGGTCGAAAACTAACCAATCAGAAAAGAACTTTCTTATTTTAAAACTTTTGGTCGTTTTGAGTGAACTTTGCTATAGGTTATCGAGGGCCCTGAATCCGAATCCATTGCCCATTTCGGTGGCCGAGGTTTTATTGGTCAGGAACTGACCAATCAAAAACGAACTTTCTTATTTTAAAACTTTTGGTCGTTTTGAGTGAACTTTGCCATAGGTTATCGAGGGCCCTGAATCTGAATCCATTGCC